AAAAAAAAAGTATATCAAATACATCCTTCTAGTAAAGTCATCACCTCTGAATATTATAGGAGGCTTTGGAAACATTACTTTATTTCTCTTTCTTCCTTGAATTTAATTTTTAGTGAGCTGAGATAAAACAGGTAAGTATAAACATTTCACATTCTGCAAAGATGCATCTCTTTTCAAGTCCATTATTATGCAGGATTTACCAAACAACACTGGAACTTTGAAATTTTACACAAAGGGAGAAGCTAATATTGGGTAGCAGCTACTCACCTATGACACCTCACCTGACATTATCAATAGAAGGAAACATTACTCAAGTAATTAAATATTTATTCCTTTAAAAGTATAACTAGAGCACAAAAATACATTTCTACCTCCCACAGCTTTTATCAAGCTGTCAAGTTGGTGTTAACTGAGTCATAAAGGGAAAAGTATCTAAAGCAGGAGAAATGTGTGAACCCTTGCTTGAGGATGAACTTGGTCATTCAGTGAGAAAACAGAAAAATTCTTAACTATTTGTCATGGTTTAACCTGGCAGGCAGCCAAACACCACACAGCCGCTCGCTCACTCCCCCAGAGAATCGGAAGGGTAAGAGTGAGAAAAACTCATGGGTTGAGATAAAGACAGTTTAATAGAACAGAAAAGGGAAAATAATAATGATAATGATAGAATATACAAAATGAGTGATGCACAATGCAATTGCTCACCACCCGCGCTGACCGATATCCAAGTAGCTACTTCCTGGAACACGCCTACCATTCATATACAGAGCATGATGTCACATTGTATGGAATACCCCGTTGGCCAGCTGGGCCAGCAGTCCCGGCTATGCTCCCTCCCGCCTGCACTTGGTAGAGCATGGAAGCTGTCCTTGACTAGCAGGGTACTTAGCAACAACTGAAAACATCAGTGTGTTGTCAACATTCTTCTCATACTAAACCCAAAACACAGTACTAGGAAGAAATTTAACTCTATCCCAGCCAAAACCAGGACACTATTCCTGATCTCTGCAGGTACAAGTCAGCAGCAAGCTCGGTACGTGCTTAATTTCCAAATAAATGCTTGAATTCACTGCTAAAATGACATGCGATAATCTGTCCTTGGATGCAGCTTCAGCTGTGACCTTCCTCTTCTGGACAAACTACTAATGAGGTTTGAAACAAAAAACTTCTCTTTCTCTATTCCATCTTCCTTCTTTCTCCATACATGTATTCATCCTCTGTCTTGCAAATATAACTGAACGACCAAGTCTGATCTGAAATGTTGTTTGAAGGAATATTTATAAATAAAGTGAAAGGAGATACATTGCCTTATTTGCATTATAAGCCTTTAATTTAGATTCATACTGGGGGGTTCATTTAAAAAAAAAACCAAACTCATTTGGTTTTTGCTTGAAAATCCCATTGAAATCTACATTTTTATATGCAGAAATATCATTTTAAGCCTATAAATATACATCCTCTTTATTAAATTCGAATTTCATAGAGACATAGGAAACTTGTTTTGGCCAGCTTTCATGTGGAGATATAAAACAATGTGCTAGATATAAAAATGTCCACCCACTATTTTTGTCTGTGTGGGATTGTTTCCCACTGCATTTCTACACCTTGGTCCACCTCTTTTTAAAAGAACTGAACTATTGATCGGTATTTTACATTTTAAGGACACAGTAGCAAGAAAATACTGGATCAAAGTGAATCTGTGCTGAGCTTTATCCCCTGCTTTCTTATTATCAAAGCATTTGTTCAACTTTAAGCATATGAATACTATCATTTATATGCAGCCAAGCACTTAAACTCATGTATAAGTTTAACGATGTCATTGAGATCACTGGGGATCAAGGATAAAAAAGTGCTATGTATAAGTAATGTACTAAGTTATTTTACTATACTCAGGTTTCATTGCTTTGCCCCATCCAAAACATCTATTCCTTTGTAGTAACATGCCTTGCTCAGTAGCTCCCTGACTACTAGCTCCTTGACCTAGAACACATATTTAGCTATTTTAACTCTTCTTCTCACTTTCGAATTCTTAAGTTAATAAATAAACTAATATGGAATCTTAGGAAAAATATTTTGAAAGTTATCTAGAAGTTCTCAGGCTTTCTGTTTTCTTGGACTTCTTAATTCAGCAATTGGTTGCTGTTCTTGATGAAGTAGTATATTATAAACTGAAATATTCTGCTAGCCCTTTTTCCATATTCTATTAAGATGAGAAGTAAGCCAAACCCCTTCTCTAGCCTTCTCCTCATGGCCGCAGGTCAAAAGATACAGCCATTTCTGGAAGAAAATATAACTCACTCTTGTAAATTGGGCTTCTAGTTTCTCGTAGAAAATAAACAATTCCTGCCTGTGAATAACAAGAAAAGTGACCACAGCATGGAAGACCACACTAGGATAGAAACTGCCGTTAGCTCAGGGATGCCTGCCTGACCTCCATGCTGACCTTCAAACCAATCATTTGCTGTACATACATCTGCTGAAAGCAAATAATCATTTAAAAATAACTAAATTCTGTCATCAAGAAACATAATTGTAATTTCTAGAAACAACAATGTAATTGTTTCTCTTGCATTGTAGGTACTTTGAAGAGAAAATTTTCAGGGTTGCACGTATACAGGAATATGTATGGTAGCCAAATATTTGGCTTGTGAACCAAGGTGATAGTCACGAGAAACAGATGTGGCTTTCTGGTCGAAGGTTGTGGATGTCCAGCAGTTCTTCATTACACTATGCTGGTGATATGAGTTCCCTTATGCCAGTGGAGGACTGGCTGTAGTGAACATTTCCAAAATCCACACACATTATTTTATGCTTACACTTTATATTAGACTTAAATCTAGATCTTTAAGATCTGCAAGATTTCAAGATGGAAAGTCTGTGGGACAAATTCTTGGGTGCTGTAGTTAATGGAATTTTTATCGTTGTGGCAACTGTGACATTGTGAAAATAAATTCCACAATTTACTTATTTAAAAAAAAAATGTATTTTTTTAATATTGAACTTGCTGTTTGATAATTCATTGTGTCACCCTTAATTTTTGAGTTATAAGGACCAGTGATTACTTGTTCCTTATTTATTCACCTCATAGCCTCACTATTGATGACCCTGAAGAAACCGGAGACTCTTACCTTATTTAGTCTTTCCTTATATGAAAGCAGTTCCAGACTTAGTAATCCTTCTCATGTTTCCATGTACGTTTCTGTCCTACACCATTTCTTCTTTCAGATGAGTTGATAAAAACTACATGAAGCATTCAAACATAGGCACATCCCTGATGTATAGTATCATTCAATATTTTCCTCTTTCTCTATTAAACCTCTTCTCATCAATCTTAACATTCTATTGGCTTTACTACACCAGCCGAGCACTGAACTGGTACGTTCTGTTTGGTTTTTTTGTTCTTGTTTTCATGTGCATTACTTTTCATTTATCAATATTAAATTTTATCATTCTACCATAAAGATATTTAGAGCATGGATAGGCCCCTTCAAAAGGCAAATAATCCATCCTAAAGTAGGACGCTAATTCAAGCCAACTGAGTCGCCCAATATCATTCTGCATTTTACCTTCACAGACTCATTTTCCTTAACATTTTGCTAACTGACACTGTCACTATTTTGACTAAGTGACTGGTAATGGATTCCTTGTATTACAGTCTTCCTCTTTAGCCATGGAGCCTTAATCAGGGGAAATTCCACAAGACATATGCATAGATCTCATTGTCTATATGCTTTCTTCTAAACATCTCTAAGTTTGAGATGCCTCTTATGACAATGGTATAATTTTAAAGCAACCGTTCAGTTAATCCATCACAGTTTTAGACCAAAACACTTCTGAAGAAGTGTTATGACTTTTATTTGTAGCCAATTCCTTTTTTCTTTTTTTCATGCACTGTACTGGGACATTTTTATTTGTCTGTTCTTAGCTATTTTTTCTTTAAACTCAGTATAAGATGTATATCTTTTGTCTCTGTAATTTCATTTGTAAAGATCCAAATTACTTTTAGGTAGCTTATTGGTACCACAGTTAATGCCAGTCTGTATCAGACTACAGGGCATTATAGGGAAAGCTCTTCAAGGACTTCCCCACATCTTCTAATGTATTTTGATCATGTGTACAGTCTCCAGTTCTGATTGGGGAACCTTTTATTATACAGTACAACTAAACAAAGCAAAAATAGTAATTTCCTAAAAGGCCTCTGAGACTACATTTCTTTATAAAGATTGTGTAGGAGGGCAGTAGAAAAAAAATTGGTACGTTGCTATTCTGAGGAATAATCAGCGTATCTGAGACAAGAATCCAAACATCTCTCAAAAACACTGTAAAGGATATACAGGTCACTTACGGTATACCTCACTGTTCATCTTGGTGTTTCAGACCCCTTACGAGGTCATGAATGTTCTCTTAAGTTGTTAGTATTTAATTATATGAAAAATAAATACATGTTTATTGTTTTATTTTCATATATACCAAGACCTTTTCATAACATTAATACAATCTCTGTAGTTGAGCCAACTGTTGGGGCTAAAAGGGAGTAAAAGTAGATACTGCATTTCTTTGTGCAGTGGTCTTTGTACAGGTCTATACAGCGTGGGACAATAGATGATTTCCAAGGTTCTGAGATATCAACCTTATAAGCTTAATAAATTGAACTACCTTTATGCTGTTTCTGAGGTGTTGTAGTTAAACAAATAATTTCATCCCACACTTGACACATATGTCTTATGTGCTGAGGTTTAAATCTGCCTCAGATTTAAACTCTGTTTTTGACCCACTGACCATGTTTGGCTAT